CATGTGAATTTAATAAGAATTTGAGGTCTGCTCATCCAATTTTTGGGAAATTCAACCACTAGTCCTCAATCATCTTGAATGCAGTAGATTAAATACACCCCCATATACGTGGGAACTAATGCCTCAAGTACAACGGATATGCTGGCAGGGGGTCGAATGAAATCGGTTAACCAATGAGATAAGAAAATGATCATCAAGACCACTAGAGCCAGTTGCTAGGAGCCGGGTGAAGCATTTAACAGAGTGAAGGGGCTAAGTCACAATAACAATTTTCACATAAGGGGAGAGGAAACCAGCTGGAAGCATGATTGCAGCTAAATCTGCTCTAATGGTCGCGCCTCTGGACTGGGTGGGTCTAAGCAAATAAAATGGTATAATAGAGGAGTAAGAGATACGGAGATATGAGATAGGTGAATATTCAAGGGCAGGAGGGATGCCATTGGAAGGTTGGTCAAGAGATGAACTTTTTCGTACATATTCTCTAAGGCTAACAAGACTTGATGATGATGTTGGCGAATCGTGTGAAAATGTACCGAGTCCACATTCCGATGTTGGAGGCTGTCATGCCTAATTTGGCAGAGGACATTGTATAGAGTAATTTCATCGGGGTTTGCCCTGACAACCAATTGTTTGGAAACTAGGTAAATCTAATTTTATAAGAACTTAGCCATTCTGGGTCTCTTAAGATTATTTAAGGATTGATAGTTGAGTTTTCACACAATGCACACAAAAGGCATCGGGATACGGCTAAATCTCACTAAACCTTTTCTCCCAAAAAGCAATCTCTGCAAGTTATCACACACTTGAACTATGCTTCCTTTGGGACCTTTGTTGAGAGGTTTATATTTTGATGTTAGCATATCATTATGATTTTATACTGTCTTCTTTTCTCCGCTTCAGGAGTCTGTACGTGTTGACACCGGCGTTTTATCCGGAGATTCTATTTCTGTACACTATGATCCAATGATTGCGAAACTTATTGTATGGGCCGATAACCGTTCCGAGGCTCTGCATCGACTCTCAACAGCACTTTTGAACTACCACATCGTTGGACTTCCAACCAACCTGTCCTTGCTGCGTAGACTTGTCCGTCTTCCGGCTTTGGTGGCAGGCGCCACGCATACTGGATTCATTACAACCCATCTTGCGGAATTGGCTCCGAGTCTGCCGCCACATAAGTCACGACATCGGATGACGCGCCTGGCAGCGGCAATATGGGTTTTTTTGGAGAAGGCCTTCACCGCTATACCGCGGTCCCCATTAGCTCGTCCAAATTCCTTTTCATTCTCGCCACATGGCCGATTTTCTGGGTTCCGGGTCAATTCGAGCTTTGTGCGGCGAGTGTCGCTGGAGCTGTTGGGTGGAGCCCAAGGGGACACTGAAGCACTAGAAACAACCGCTGCCCGCGTCAACTATTTAGATCCTTTTCGAGGCCTTTATCTTGTTAACTTGAGTGAGGAGATTGACTCCGGGTCGTCGCAACGCAATAAGTTTCAGGTATTTTAGCCCAGGTTTCTCCTAACCTTTGTTGTTCTTATCTTACTTTTTCCTTAAATCAGCTTTAGGTTCATTGATTTGTATCATATATTATAAATAGCATAATGTTGAACCTTAGGGTTTCATGGGTTATCAGTGGTTCACATAAAGGCAAATGCTGTTTTATTAAGTCATCCTTATTCAGTTTTTACCTAAAAGGTAGTGTGAACTTTATAATACTATTATGCTTTTCACTTTTCTTGCCCGTTCACACTAATGCAACACTATCAATAATATAATTAAATATAATCTAAATGCATGAATTTTCTGTGATGAGACATTTCTGCTTGTTGCCTTAATTTTGCATATATTTTGATTGTACCGCTGATTTTACCCGTGAGT